ACACCTGAGCTGCTCTGATGAGCTCAGATGTGGGGAAAAAAGCAGGTACCAGGCTAGTTTCCACATCCAGTCTGGTTCTTTGTTTGGTTTTGAGTGGAGAAAAGCTAAAGGTGAACTAAAACATATAAGAAAAGAAGAAAGTTGAACAGATCCCAGCCCTATTTTATTTTATTACCTGAGAAATAAAATATTTCCATGTACCCTTTGCAATGCACTCGCGGACCACTGGGGGTACGAGTACCCCCTTTTGGGAATCAGTGCTTTAGGTAAGTGATAATAGGGGATTTTTTTCACCGCATAGAAGGGAAAAGGGGGGTGAAGCAAGGATGCAGATCCATTCATGCAATAGTAAAATCCTGCAACAATGGACTGTGTCTGGAGCAGCAAGCTTTCAAGGTTATTAAGGTGCAGAGGAAAATCTAAATAAAATCACAAATTTTGTAAAAAAAAAAAAAAAAAAAAGAAAAGAAAAAATATATAATTTGCGATTTTTGGCTAAATTGTTCATCCATCCATTTTCTTCAGCTTTATCCAGGGTTGGGTCGCGGAGGCAGCAGTCTAAGCAAAGACGCCCAGACTTTCCCATCTACAAACACTTCCTCCAGCTGCTCTGGGGGGGATGCTGAGGCGACACCAGGCCAGCTCAGAGACAGAGACCTTTCAGTGAGTCCTGGGCCTTCCACAAGGCCTCCTCCCAATGGGAAAAGCCTGGAACTCCTCCCGATGGAGGCAACTAGGAGGCATCTGAAACAGATACCCGAGCCACCTCAGCTGGCTCCTTTCGACGTGGAGGAGCAACGACTCAACTCAGAGCTCCTCCCGGGTAACTGAGCTCCTCACCCAGACTCAAAGGGTGCGCCCAGCCACCCTGTGATTGACACTTATTTCCATTTAACCAACAAAGAAAAAGTGGCAGAACCGTTAAGGATTCACGCACATCCATATACCTATTTTTTTTTTTTTTTTTTTTTTTTTACTAAAATTACCATGCTTAGCTCTTAACGTATCTCTTTAGGCTAATTTTGAAAAGCTATCAGATAATAAGGTAGCCTAGGTGCCATTCCGAACTTAGTCCCGCCCACAACGTTTGAGGTCGAGAAGTTCGGTCTGGCATTGCTCAACAGTAGCGCAAGTATGCTCGCACAATATCTGACGATCCAATCAAATTGTCAGGGCGGGCTTTATACAATGATGGACAGATGATCAACAGTAACGTAATCAACCACGTCACCAAAGCGCGCTTGGGTGACAACAACAATGGCTGCCGCTGGAGAGTTTAGGTGAGTAGATTCTGCTATTAGGTCTGTTCTAGAAGATATCGACAGCAAATTAATTTTAAAAGAGAAACAGAGAAACGCGATCAAGGCTCATCTTCTTATTCTAGGCGTGCAACTGCACGCTTTGATTTTTGTGGACAACAACTATGCCTCGTTTAACATACGTCACGCACTCCGTTGCTCTTATTGGTTGTAGGTCTATCCAATTGAGTGCAGAGGCATTTTTTTTCCTGGTTCGTTCGAAACACGCCCCATAATCACAGCTCTATGGAGCAGTATCAGACTCATATTCTGACTAGAATTGAGTAGGACTACGACAGGCTAATAATAAGGCAGGTTTTTAACATTTTCCACACTAGATAAGAACAAATACTGTTTCCATTAAAGTTTAGCAAAAGCTTGATGTATACATTTGCGATGGAAGGCTTGCATTTCTGCCAACAAATGGAAAGCATCTTTTTGCTGTTATTCTCTAATTGAATAAATTTCCCTCCCTTAATGTTGAACATAATATGGTGTTTAGTGAATAAAATCAAAGCGACTCCAAATCCGGCAGATTTAGACAACAGAACAAGTGGACTCTCTACTATCATCAGTTTTCCCAGATCTACGGAGTGAATTTTGTTTCATTATTGTTGCAGGAATAATTCTGTAAATCAACAGGGACTCCAAAAATAAAACTTTGGAAAACCTCTCATAATAAAAAGTTTCTGTGTGGAAATTAGCAACAACATTTTCAAGAGCGATCACTGGTATTGGGCCCTAAGTGAAGAGAATGTGAGCTGTGAAACACTTTTTGAAACTAATAAAATTTGTTTAAAAAATGAATCTGGGAAAAGAGAATTTGAAAACCTTAAATTATAAAATATACATATTAAAAGAAAAAATCATATATTTTTTTTCAAATAAAATCTAAGAGAACAGCAGTGTTATACCTTAAACTTTTTAAATTAAAACTTCATTTCTGGTTCGCTTTATTTATTCAAGTTTCCATTTATAAAACATGTTCTTTGCTTGCAATAATAATGGGACAAAGTTCACTCCCTACAAATTTACGCAGAGGTCTGTTGGAACAACAGAGAGACCAGACTGACCCACACATATAACTCATCAGGTTGGATAGTTGGATCATCCACTGCTTAGAAAAATCTAAATTATTCCAATTCACTGACAGTACAACTACAGACAGCCCTGATTCTGTATACATTTAAAAATAAGCTACTACCAGGAAATATTCACTAACTTCTTTACATAAGAGAAGAATAAAACACGCCAAAGATTGAATGTTGATTCAAACTGAGCAAATTCAGAATCAAGAGGAAAACAACTTATTTTATTTCAGTTTATCGAGTTAAATAGTGGAAAAGTCTGTCTACTGTAATAAAGCAATGTCCAACTGTGACTGCTTATCACAGTCATCATAGCCCCACAATCATAGATAATACTCTGGAAGAATTATGCACATTCAAAAATGTGTCTTCTTCGGGACACCAGTTAGATAAAAAAAAGTATGATTTATATCATTTAACATCTCAGGGTAACCGTATTTAATAATATTCTTCAGATTTGTAAATGCTCCAGTAAAAATAAAACAAACAATATTAAGATCAAAATTATGACAATTCATCCATTTTCTAGTTTTTTTTTTATCATAAATTCAAATGTTAATGTTTACATGATAAATCAACATTCTTAGTATGACTAGAAACCTAACGCAATAAAAAGATACGATTAACGCTGACCCATATTTCTTATTATTTAAAATATTGTTTGAAACAGAGGTTCCAATGATTATAGTTTTCATAATTACTGTGACGTTGATTCCTCAGGAATATGGAGGGAAAAATATATCGTAATGTGACTGTCACATATAAGTAGATTTATTAATTTCACATTGATTTAAATGAAATACATGATTTAAATCCAAAGTTGTAAATTTCACAAATAAAAAACTAAATGCTTAATCATATAACTATAAATATAATTAGATTTAATTAACTTCATTATTATATTTTACATTTGGTTAAAAAAAATATTACAGTTGTGTAACTTTATATGTATAAATAAAAAGTAAAGTAAGTCTTTGTATTTTTAGGGGACGCCAGCCTGTTGCATCGTTCTTTTTGGGTTCAGTGGCTGAAACATTTAAGTTTCTGACCCCATAATACAGCTACCAGAGACTGGGGAACCCCTGAAATAAACATTTTCGTAATTATATAACTTTATAAATGAATGCATTGACCTTAGAAATACATTGAATTGTTTGATTAACTATTTAAAGGTGAATTTAATACAACAATAAATTATCTCACTGTACATTCCATAATATAATGCTATATTTGATAATTAAATATTATATTACCTCTTATTTGAGATTTATTTTATATATTTCAGCCCTCCATATACCTTAGAAATGTCATGCTTGTGAAAATTGCATTTCAATCCCTCATATGGTGATAAAGAAACTTTAACAAACTTTAAAAGTACTGAAAAAGCTGCTTAATAAAATTGATTTTAAAGTGTTTTTTAGGAATCCGAGTAATTCTGATAGATAAGGTGACTGTGGCTAAAGAGCTGACCCAAAGCTAACAGTGGACAGATTATTGCTTTAGTTTATTGAGCCGACAATCAGACATATCAGTGCCAATATTAAAGGGATTTTATTGTTTCTATCTGTTTGATCTTATCTAAAAAAAACAAAAAAAAAACAAGCTGCTTTTATAATGGAAAGTAAAGAACACTGATGCTGTAATGATGCCACTTGTTGCCACCCTGGATCAGTCACCAATTTACTCTGCACACTCTGAAGCTCCATCTTCATGTGAGTGTGTATGTTAGTCCTGTTGTGAAAAAAAGCATGCATTATTCACAAAGCCAGGCTGCAGGGACTCTCTCTCACAAGGGGCATAAAAAAGCAGAGCTGAAGCTAACATCTGCTGAGAAGAAGCTCCTCTCCTGAACTTCTGCCTCCTTTATAGAATATGAAAAAAGAAGGGATTAAAGCCTTGACAATTTTAGCAGCTCACTGATGCAGGCTATAAATAGAACCTGGAACTGTCATATCAAACATTACAAGCCTTTGTTTAGACGTTTGACAGAGCTTTTCTAAGGATCTACTGCCTCCAGACAGAAGTCTCTTTTATTCTGGAGCTAAATATAGAGAATATAAAGCATTTCTTTTTTTAGTCTTGTTTCAGTGTCAGCTGTTTTTATCCCTATAGTCACACCTTTCCAATTGAGTCCATACTGTGTCTTTTAGTAAATATTCAATAAGAAATTATGTGTACAGGCTTTTATTTTATTTAAATAAACAGATAAATGTTTTATATGTCCATGCAGGCGTTGGTTCTTCCACCATTTAGTGCCACTGAACCCAGAATTCAGCACCAGATTTCACAAGCAATTCAAATGCAGCATGCTTGGAGTCAGAACCTACTGGAATCTACAGTTGTTTTATGAAACTGCTCATCGCTGTCAGGAGGAAACCTATAGTGTCTCCTGCTTTACTCTTAGTTATAATCAGTTATAGTTGCGATAGGGGGAAAAAAGCAGCAGTTTCTGAGTTTGAATGTTGAGGTGCATGGATGTGTTTCCACTGACAGAGCAGAAGCTGTCTCCTTACATCACCATGGCCCCTCCAGTGGCCCTTACAGTGCGCTGTGGGTGCATGGCAGGTATAAAGTAGGGGTTGGGGGGGTGGGGGGGTAAAAGACCTAAACTTACCGCAGTCCCCACACAGCACTCTCTCCACATCCTTCTTCAGTTCCGGCTCGCTGGCATCCACGGGCGCGTAGGATGCCTTGAATACCAAAGGATCGGCGGTGGGGTCCATGAAAAAGATGTACCTGTGGTCCTTCTCCACTGTGGTGCAGGGGGCTTCGGAGCCGAAGTCCCCGACGGTCACGAGCTGCTCCCGCTCGAGGCCGCCGCTGTTGACGGGCCACACATCCAGCACTCTGACGTTCACCCTGTAGGGCTCGCTGGAGGAGCCGTTCTCCGGGGAGGAGCGCACCTCGCCCTCGATGACCACGGCCGATCTGTACGCCTGGTCCTGGAGGGAGTTGAGACTCGGGGCGTAACAGGCGAAGGAGACCCCGATGACCAGCATGGAGAAATGCACTGGATCAAGCCTCATGCCGTCAGCCTGTGCTGTGCTGCAGTGCTGCTGGGCGGCGGAGCGAGCTGGAGGAGAGAGACGGCGGATAACGGGCTCCGGCAGAGCAGGCAGGGCAGAGCGGCAGACGTCGTGGAAGTGTCCATGCCATCTGTGTCTGCCTCTGCTTTCCCCATACGGCTGCTGGCGTCGGATGGGGGGGATACGGCAGCCTAGGAACCGGAAACGGCCCGCTTCTGCATGCTTAAAAATGGGATTGCTGCATTCTCCTTCACCGACCACCCTCCCCTTCTTATCTCCCCCTTTTTTTTCCTGAAAGGCAAAACAAGACTCGTAAATTAGCCTCCTCTAAGATCCAGGACTGAAAGCTCTCCCTCTCTTCCTTTCTCCTCTGCTAATAGGCTAGCATCGCATGGGTGGGCGCACTGGCTCTCCTGCGCGTACAGCGGGAATCACAAGAAACGATGCGCACTCCACGCACACGCACCTCCAAATCCTGTCCTTTCGCTTTTAAAGAGTTCCGTGGGTCGCTGAGCTGAAATAAAACAAAACAAAACAAAAAAACACAAAAAATGAAAAGCAAAAACAAAAAAAATTAAAAAAAAGAAAGAAAGAAAGAAGGAGGGACAGACGGACGGGATGAGATAGCAGCAGTTATCCGGTGAGGCGTTGCAACAGTAGCGCGCACCCTCCAGCCGCGTCCCCTGCGCCCCTCATCAAACCAGAGCGGCTGACGTGAGCAAACATCACCTGCCCGGTCACTGGCGTCGGCCCGCCACGTCCTGCGCAAACAGCCTAACAACCCGGGCGACCACTGGCCCTCCGCCACGGACCCCACCGGTGTGCGACCATCCCAGGAAGCGACCCCTACACACACTGCAGAGAGCTACGATGACTAACGCTGCGAAACTCTCTGAATGGATCCCTCGGCATGGCTTTGCGCGCAGAGAGGGGCTTCAAGACCTCATCTTTATTACGTTTCCCAGCAGAAACACATAACCCACCCCTCCGCCCACACCCCCCTCTGACTGTGCACGCTGCCACAGATGAGCACGCCCCGAAATACGCGAGTCACTGCAGCTCAGTCCTTCAACAGGGGCTGGATGGCAACAGGATCAGCTGCTGGAATAAAGCCTTTCCACTTCCACGGATGATTAAAACACGCTCATGGTGGTTTGTCTTAATTTATGCTGTTGTTAAAGTGGATCCAAACTAAGCCTTTTTTCGCAAGCATGTGCATCTCAAGCATCTCATCTCCAAAGGTGTAACTTTGAATATTAAAAAACAAACAGAAAGTAGGGTTTGAATTTAAAAAAGACATTAAAATGCTTCATATGACCAATGAAAAATAAAAACCTATGTAACCTATAAAGATGAACTGGAGAGCTCCAGACTGCTGCACCTTAAATGCACCAGGGAGCGTTATCACAGATCCTTCCTCCCAGCATCTGTAAGACTCTATAACCATCACTGTTCCCAACAACCTCAACAGGATGTTACATTCAGGCTGATTTTGCACAGTTTCTACTGTAGTCAGTTAAATAACATGCTGCTCTCATTTTGCACATCTCTGATTTTGCTGCTATTTTTCAAATATGCATTACTGTTAAAATGTTTATAGCTGTATATTGGTCATTTATTCCCCAGGTGCACAGTTTTATATTGTTAAAACACTTTACAGTACAGTATTTTATTGTTTAACTTTGAACTCGTCACTACTATGGCATTTTTATACATTTTTCTAAGTTCACATTTGTGTGACCATTTTTCAATAATGTTTTTTCTGCTGTAAACACTAGAATTTCCCCATTGTGGAACATTAAAAGAGGCTTTCTATTCTATTAAAGAAACAAAATGGTCTTAAATGGTCGGTTCTAATAACATGCACTGCCAACATTTTATTAGTAGAACCATTTTTTTCTTGAAGTCACTGTGTTTTCTCTTGATTTAAGACAATTTTCTGATGGAATGAGAGGATTCATGTTTAAATTAATAATAAAAAAGCCTGAAATGTCTTATGTCAAGTGCATAAAGCCTAATTATCTCATTTTAAGAGTAAAAATACTCATTCCATTAGCAGATCTTTGTATTAACCTGCTCAAATTAGGAGCAAATACACTGATTTTTGTAAACATTTAACTCTTTCTGACCGTTTTTACAGCATATCATTAAATCTGTCTCTTATGATGATATGCACTAGCAGAAAAGACAGAAACTGATTCATACCTCGGACCAATTCAATGTTTAACCTTTAAAATTTACTTTAAAGCTTTTTTAGAAGCTATAGTGAGCTTTATACTTCAAACATTTTAAGGTAAGATAACAGTTTTCATCTGTTGGATCAGGGGTTTGAAACCTCGGCTTTGTGGCTAACGTGATATACTAAACAGCTGCCTTAGTTTTTGTTTGGTTTGGTTTTGCTTTAATTTTTCTGTATTTTCCACATACTTGGAATAAATAACTTATTAAACTTGTGTTACAGCACAGCCTTCAAATTATACAGTAATTTATCAGAAACATATTCTTTATTCAGGGTGGGGAGTGGCCTAGTGGTTACAGCATAGGGCTTGAAATCCTGAGGTTAACCCCACACTGCTCCCCGGGCGCCGCACGATGGCAGCCAGCTGCTCCCCAAGGGGATGGGTTAAATGCAGAGGTAAATTTATCCAATGTGAGATCAATAAAGTTCAATTACTATTATCCAATGTTTTGCAACAAGGTTAGTTTCCAAAGTTTCACTTAATGTGTTGAGGAGGAAAAACTTTCACAATGTCAAAAGGTACAAAAGACAAAATTTATTCAACAGTTTGTAAATCTTCTAAAATAAGTTATTCTGACCCAATTCATCCTCAACAATAAAACAGCATTTGAGTGCCTTTGCATAAAACCAGAAAATGGCCTTTTGCACTAAAACAAACAACAGGGAGAAAAATCATTCACCAAAAAGTTGTTAACATAAACATAACATAATAATTGTACACAAATTTCAACCATGCAATTAGTCATTAAATTACTAATAAAACAAAATAAATTATGATAGTAAAATTAATATTTATATATAAACTCTAATAACCTGGCTTTCACAGTTCATCTATAAAAGAAAGTAATTAATGTGCTGCCATTCTAACAAGGTTTTTGAATAGAAATGCTTGTTTAACCTGTATGAATGTGATAAATAATTTCATATTGTGATAGACTGCCATAATAGGTGGACTAATTCTTTCTAATCTCGATGTTAGCACATTGCAGATCGCAATAAAAGTAGACAATCAAAAGTGGAGGAATTTTTTTGTTTCTTTGCCAAGAAAATGAGGGATGAGAAATAAGATGAGGCTGTGTGATCAGAGGAGGGACGATTGATAGAGAGAACAGGAAGGTCAGAGGCAGGGGCGGATTTACCATTGGGCCAAACTAGGCAGTTGCCTGGGGCCCCAAGTTCCTGGGGGCTCCATAACCCTTCTTTTACATGTATAGTTATTACAGCTATTACTTATTTATGCACTTTAATTATGTTTTTGATAAAAAAAAATATTTTCTTGCCATTAGAATGCTAATATTATGTCACAGGGGCCCCCCTTCAGCGTCCACCACATTGGATCAGCCTATTTGCAGTGCATGTGCAGAAAGGTCCAAACAGACAGCAGCAAACCACTTGAAAACAAACAACGGGAAGAGCAGTGTTGCTGCCTCAGCGCTTTTCTCACTATATTTAGAGACTTTTTAGACCCCTCTAGCGCTTTTATTTCCAAAAAAGCACCTAGCACCAAATCTAGTGACTTTTTTCTGCTACTGGAAACTTTGGCGGCAACATTTAAAAGCAGCAAACTCTGCTCTCCAGAGCAAGTAGATTGGTAACCCCGCCTCCTGCTCTCCTCTATCTTGTCTGCTGTCATGATTCATGCAGCTATTATTTCATCCAAATAAAAAAATGGAGAATAGAGAAGCAGATCAAGTCTGTTCTTTTCACTTGTCTATAGTGAAAAGAAGGACTGGGATATTAACTTTTGCTGTCGCCGTTTAGAAAACACAGGAAGGAGCAATCAGTTAAATTACAATGGGCTTAGTAATTGGAAAATCTTTTATTTGTTTGGAGACAGCATAAAAGTAACCTGAGCAAGAAAAGGGATAAGAAGAGAGGGAATAACGGTAGAACAAATAACATATTTCTATTCTATAAAAAAATCTGTATCTGTATAATGGGTCTGTTTTATGTGTTGTCTTCTCAATTCAGAGGCCCCCCTGCCTGTCTTTGCCCAGGGCCCCAAATTTCCGAAATCCGTCCCTGGACAGAGGCAAAGGAAGGCACTGAAGGGAACAGCTGAAGAAATGAGTGACCATGATGTTAGAAAAAGTGGTGAAGAGAAGATTTTAGAATCAGCAATAAAGAAGAGGATGTATAGTAAGGAGATGACAAAGAAAACAGAGAGTCATGGATATTTATTCTCTGGATATACTAAAATGTTGAGATGTCTTATTTCGATCTGCTTGCAAGATGTTAAACTGATCAGCACAACAGTTTTCACGTTAATAGCTCCGAAAAAATAAAATTGGTGGGGATATTTTGCTGATTATATTTATATATGAGCATTGTAGTGCCTCCTTTCCCCTCCACCATGTAAACTTTTCTAGATCCTCCACCGTCTACAGCAGGGTCGGGCAATTACCTCCTCAGCATGCATTCAGTTCATCCTGAGTCCTCTCAATCATCTAGTTTCTTAATTCAGGTGTGCTGAGCCAAAGGCACATCTAAAGGTTGCAGGATAACGGCCCTCAGGAACTGGAAATGCACATCCATGGTCTACAGCAATGGATCTTCAGATACTCTACAGAAATGGAATTAAATTATAGTTATGAAGTCTTATTGTCTGTTTAAAGATAAAATCACTTAGAAATTAGTCAAACCAAAGTTTTTATTAAAAACTATTGCTCACTGTTTAGAGATGTAATCCAAAACTATTCCAGGAAAGTTGAGTGGAGGGAAAAAAGTTTCCTTTCACTCCAACTTGCCTTTGGTTTTTCAACAATCTTTTATCTTTCTTTTAAATATCATTGTCATTAGACTGGTATAGGGCATTGCAGGCTAAAAAAAGAAACCAAATGCCCCCCATTCTAAAAGGGTGGACCCCTTCGACCGTTTCAATTTGAATGTTTTCAAAACAAAAACAAGCCTTTGTTGGGCTAATATATAAAACCTTCGAAGTCAACGCTAATCCTGACATTTTGAACTGAAAAAGCTTCTTGGATGCAGACTAAAATTAAACTGACTTCTTAAAGAGGATCAATTTGAAGCAAAAAAAAAGCTTCTCTACACTGATTTTTATTACATAAACCACAATGATACCCATTCCTCAGACATTTGGTCGTGATGCATCTTCCAGCTGCTTAGAGTGACATTGTTGTAGCTGTGGAGTGCGCCACTCTTGGACAGTAGTCCAGCACCCTATCCCAAATGGCTCCCTACACACTACCCCTTAACTATCGCATTTCACTCCCAATTAAGTCACCCTCACAGCTGTGGAAGGCGTCTGGATTGAAGGTGGGATGGCTTCTTCCTTCCAACAGATAAGGAAAGCAGCCATTTTAATGGCAACACAATGACGCCCCATGTCCAGGGGTGTAGCTCTGTGGCACTGGTTGACATGAAATCAAAGTTTTGCCCCTTTTTTGAAAAAAAAAAGGTCAAATAAAACAATTTGAAAGACGACCTCTGCTTTTAGATTTAAGGATGCGTTTTTTCTTGACTTGTGATTTTATTGTCAGTGTGAAGATGCCTGTACACCTACTGCCAAATTCCAGTGGGTCTGGACTGATGTGGACTCGCTTTTAAAGGGCTGAACGGCCCACTCACCCTACCAACTACAGGGTTTGGGACAGCCCTTAATGTGGCGGAGCCTCTGCAGGAATGTGCAAAGAGGGTTATTCTTTAGGATTAGACTTTAGGGGCCAGTTTGGAATTGGGCCAGTGTTTACAGCAGTGCTATTTTTAAAAGGCCCTGTAGAGGAAACACCACTCAAAAAATTATTTGTGCTGTTTTTAAATATACACCTTTTCTGAGAAACCAAATTTTGTATTCTCATCATTTGTTTTTATAAATCCATAAATTACCAAATTTATGCAATTATACTTTCATATTGGATTTCTGATTCTGCTATTTAATGCTTAGCTCTCTATTGTGTATATATATATATATATATATATATATATATATATATATATATATATATATATATATATATATATATATATATATATATGTATATCCACTATGACTGTGGGAAACGGATGTTAAATGCTTAAACACTCATTAATTGTTTTTTGCTCAAGCGGCCT